CATGATTATCGTCGGATATCGCTGGAGATTGAGTGACAAGTTTTCAAAATCTTTCTCGATATCCGCGGAGAACCTGCAATGCTGTGATCTGAAGTCTTATCCTATCTGGAATTTTGAATCATGCAGAAGTGTTTCTAGAGCTCGAATTATAATAGGCACAAATTTAATCTTCAGTTTTCGTAATTCCCGAGTAATTTCCTGATAATTTTTCACCTTCTTTCACTTCCAGTCTATGGTCAGCTAAAGCAGATCAGATCTTCTTTTCCTATCAACTTCAGTTTTCTCGCCTCGGCTCTGAATCTTAGGATTCCCTAAACATAACCTTAATTGTGCTGATTTATTTACAGTCTTTTGCATAGTTCCCGTTGTATGGCTGTTCCTATCCAATCGTGCTTTTTTTGTCTTTCCGTATTTGTTTTTACATTCCTTATTATCTTTTATAGTCACTATATTTTCACACCGGCCTTAAAAATGGAGACCAAGTAACAGTAAATATCCTCTTTAAACCAACACTTTTTTAGTCTTCTTGTTAATTTTAGTATTACTGTCATTTAGATGCTTTCAGCTTTAATAACTTCTGATATTTTTAATCCTACTAATCTTTATACATTGATCTTTGGTTCTTTTCCAAGCACGCCAGTAATGATGGGTAATATCGTTAATTTGGCTTTTGCATATTCTTTTTTTTTCAGATTTCTGTCAGTTTTTCATTCAGTTTTAATTCAATTCTGTTAACTGTTCGAACGGCAACATCTATTATAAATATGCAGCGAACAATGTTGGTATTTTATCACCGCTTTACGAGTAACTGAACCAGACAGATGAATAGATTTCACCGAATTTCAAGCACATAACTAACGCTCTGTTAAACTATTGTAAGCATTTTGTAGACTTATTCTAAAGCCATTCCCTAAAAGTAGGGCACTCACTTATCACTATACAATACGTATTCACTGAAAATTCTTTAAGTCTTTACGGCGAAGTGGTCGTACATTCTACATCCTCGAAATGTCAGTACATTTACCAATAAATGTCATAACTGTCTGAATCGATACGCGTATAAATGCAGCCTAGACGTTTTCGCAACCCACAGTGAGATTTTACTTATATTTTTAATGGTAGCTGAACAATTTATGCGCATTTTTATTTATATTCCTGTATACGCTAAAATGAATTACAGTACAGAATTAAGCAGGTCAATAGACCTGTATGAAGCAAAGCATTTTTATAAACATCTTCTCATCTGATTGTGTCAGGTGATCGTGTCACGTGAGCTAAATTTGAATTTCGAAGCAATGTCGTTTTTGAGGAATGTCTTGTCGAAATGACGCTAATCATATTTTCTGAACAGCAATTTTTGTTAATTAGCAACGAGGAGAGAAGCGATGATTAATCGAATTCTGCATTTTACTGCATTTTCTAGAAATTATATAAAAATCACTCATAAGTGGGTGGGGGTGCTGAAAAGATCTCAATCCAACCCATTTCCGAAAGATAGTTATTTTGATGTTTGATCATAGAAATATTGATTTGGGAAACTGTGGCACATGTAGAACTTTTTTTTTTCATTCATCTCCCCCCCCCCACTTTGTAATTATTTTCAATGGAAAAAAAAACTTGCTCTTTATTCCTCGTCTTTTTCACTCTCTCCTCTCCCTTCCCGCCCGTTCTCACTCTCTCTATCTCTTTCTGTCTCTCTTTGTATAATGGGAATAATTGAATGTAGATATTTATGAAGAATACCTTCGGCAAAATAGCCCATGGGAAAGGCATGCCGGCCTTGAGAATTAACATTCGAAATTCTGCTTTTTTTCCTAACTATGAACACTGACCGCTAACACGTTTAGTAATTATGTAATCTATTCATTTACTAGGTAGAGTACTCATCATCTTATTTCTTAGTGTTGAAGCTTGAATAAGCATGGAATAATAATAATACAACACAAAATGTACGTAACAAAATGTATTGAAACAATGAAAAAAGGTACACAATATTTACAGGTAGTTTTGGTATATTCTTGGGAAGACTGTTCCTGCAGAATGGGTTGACTAAGTCGCAGTCGGGCAGAGTCTCTGGATTCGATCTCTTAATCTTCCGTCGTCTTCCGGTACCAACCCATATTTATATGGTCGGTACTCCACTTATGTAAATTAGGTGTATCATACACAACACTTAGTAAGAACTTTTTTCAGTTTGTTACTTTACCATTCCTTTTATCCTTAGAAGAAAACGCAGATCAGTTTCCATATATATCCAAAAATTTTAGAATGAACAGATCCAGCTATACACTTAACCCTTATGAAGAACTTAGTGGATGTGGAGTGCTGTAATGGTTAGCAGCACGGAAGGTGAAATCAGAGGGCCGAGTTCGAATTCTAATCGAGTTCGGTGCATTCATTTATACGCGAGAAAGATATGAATACTTATTTCCCCCGGCTATGAGTTAAACAGTAGAACTTGTATCTGGAAAAATCATTGTCAATGCAATATTCACTCGAAAATATTCTTACAATGTAAAATATGTTTAAACCTTAAAATAACCCACAAAGGGTTGATAAACCATAAAAAAAAACAAATCCATCAATTTATGATAATGCAACCTACAACACAATAGACAAGCAAAAATCTTCACTGGAACGTATGTATCAGCCACAGTGGTAAGATCCATTCAAAAAGTTGTACAACATTTTATTTAGTTGAGCTCTTTTTCTCAAACTTTTATATGGATTTAAAGAATATGAAGATATTTTAAGGCATTTTTGACATTTTTAAATATTAAATTATAATACAGAAAACACTATTCACGAGTATTTGACAAAAGAAAAAAAAACAATATGGCTATCAATAACAGAACTAATAGATTTATCCCACAATTCCAGGTGAAAATTTTATTTACCTTAGGGTTTTAAAGATATTAAAATATACATAAGTAAATCAATAAGCCTGGAATCTAATGACGAAAAAAAAAACATTTATTTCATACAACAAATATATTTTAAGATATTTAACCTTCTTTTGTTAATGCGCTTAATTCTGTGGGGAATTTTAAGCACATAAAGTGCATATAATACAATAAAAAACAAAATTCATCTAATAACTACTTATTAGGCTACGAAAATATTGATCCACTCTTGTGGATGCGAATATACACAAGAATCCTGTAAATTATACCGACAATGTACACAGTTTGGTCAATGAATTTCGAATGTTTCCTGCATTGAAGTTAATTTTACTATTGCCTTTACGAGATCACGTAGAATACACAGGTTTAGTTCCATTACTAAAGTTAAATAACATTGACCCTGATAAGTACTTATATGAGTAACCGCATAAAAATAGGAGGTACGACATGCGTTTTATCATTCAAACGAATTATGCAATCCAGACCAAGACAAACAAAAAAATACAACACATTTTTAACAGAAAGGTGGCAGACGATGAAAAGTGGAACGTTTACAACAATGTGGAGTGAAAAAGTTGTGTGTATTACGAGCTTCTTTCACAAAATCAGACTTTAAACTCAAACAAACAATGTTTCCAAATGAACCGATCAAATGTAGCAGTGGACCAAAAGTGTCAGGAATTGACCAATCGGACTGATGTCGTCAGTTTTCAAACCTGGAATAAATTGGTACTGTTTGGTTGGGATGACCTACTACACTTGCAGTATTTACATGAAATTGCATCTTCAGGTTCCCACATATTCCAACAGAAGAACTTTAATTCTCTGGAAACCTGTAAAAACCAATGAGAACTTTCCATCACCCAGAAAAATGCCTAGGACGATGAAATCATGAAGCCACCTCAAATATAGCGATGGATAGTGGACTAAAATGATAAATAGGGGGTTGAATTAATCTACGTACCAATATCTAAATATTGTCCTTGAAATTCACCTTTTTAATTTACATAAATGAAAAGTGCTCGGACGAACTGCATTTCTTTTTCCGCCAGCTCTAACCCCGGATAGGACTCGCAACGTCACTCGCATTGTAGCAAACCACTGTCATCCCCCCCCTTCGCGTATTCCTTTGCTGATAAGAAAGTTTCACTCGAACAGCTTCTTCCCGCGAACCAGTGCTCTGTGGAACCGACTCCCAAGAGAATGTTTCCTCGATCACTACAATCTTAACCTATTCAAGTCGAGAGTTAACCGTTATCTCCACCCCCCAATCCTCGTAAACTGTGCCTCTTACTCTGTAACCCTCTACCTCGAGTGGACCCCGGGCCTTGTACAGGGTGAACCTCACTGTAAAAAAAAAAAAAACATATATTTTTCTTACTTTTTTTTTATCTGTGCTAGGCAGTGGTTTAGTTGTAAAAGTGTACAAAAAATTAATAGACAACTATAAAAATGTGTGCATTGCTTAATGTTTAGTCCGCGAGGCCAAGAAAAATATACGCGATGCAAGTGTTTGTTTCAAATTGCAATGTCCAATTAACTCAGTTTCACCTCTGTCATAGATTTCTATTTTGTTTATTTTGTGCAAAGGCTACAATGTGTTTGGATAGATAAATGTCTTAGAAAGGAAAAAGACAATGAACAAGTGGCAAGACAATTACAAAGAAATAAATCATATTAATTTGTTTCCTCCTAAACGCACCTGAGACAACATTTTATAAATCTTCACACAGTCCAAGCTTGGGGGCAAATGCTGTGATTGTTATCTGTCGAGTGGCGCTAATATTACAAACTTTGCATTGCACAGTATTTTGGTAAACTCTTGGGAGAACCGGTGGCCAAAGTTTATATGCAAATCATCGATTCTGAAAATCTTGTGTTACCAAACAATCTTTCTTTCTCTTTCACATTTATCTTTTTTGCATCCCTCCCCACCTTTCTCTTTCTCTATCTCACCCTCTCTCTCTCTCTCTCATTCTTTAAGAGTAAATCTTTGTCTCAGTAATGTCAATAAATCGAATGTTCAATAAAAACTTTGACTATAAAAATATTTATTCACTTTTTAATCTTAAAACTTGATAACAAGTTGGATATATCACGTTGAAACATCGGTTCACGTACGAACACCGAATTTAAGCAAAGTTGAGCCTGGTCAGTACATAGATGGGTGACCGCTTGGGAATACCATGATCTGT